GCATGGTACTGGCATAAAAATGGACACTCACACCAATGGAACAGAATAGAAAATCCAGAAATCAACCCACATACTTATAGCCAAGTGATCTTTGACAAAGGCAATAAGAACATATATCAGGGAAAAGACCTTCTTCAATAAATGGTGCCAGGAAAATTGGACACCCACATGCAAAAGAATGAAACTGGACCCGTACCTCTTACCATATACCAAAATCAACTCAAAATGGATGAAAACTTAAATATAAGACCTAAAACTATAAAATTACTAAAGGAAAACATAGGGGAAACAGTTCAGGAAGTAGGATTGGCCAAAGACTTTATGAATAAGACCCTAAAAGCACAAGCAACAAAAGAAAAAATAAACAAATGGGATTATATCAACCTAAAAAGCTTCTGCACAACCAAGGAAACATCAATAGACCAGAAGGACAACCTATGGAATGGGAGAAAATATTTGCAAACTATATATCCAACAAGGGATTAATATCCAGAATATATAACTCAAACAACTGTACAGTAAAAACACAAATAATCCAATTTAAAAATGGGCAAAGATGAATAGACAGTTTCCAAAGGAAGGCATACAAATAACCAACAGGTACATGAAAAAATGCTCAACATCACTAATCATCAGGGAAATGCAAATCAAAATCACGCTAAGATATCATTTCACCACAGTCAGACTGGCCATTACTAAAAAGACAGAGAATAAGAAATGCTGGCAAGAATGTGGGGAAAGAAGAACTCTTCTACACTGTTGGTAGGACTGCAAATTAGCACAGCCATTATGGAAAACAGTATGGAGGTTTCTCAAACAACTATGGATAGAACTACCATATGATCCAGCAATCCTACTACTGGGTATATACCCAAAGGAATGGAAATCATCTTGCTGAAGGGATACCTGCACTCCCATGTTCACTGCAGCTCTATTTACAATAGCCAAAATATGGAACCAACCTAAATGTCCACTGATGGATGACTGGATAAGGAAAATGTGGTCTGCCATTTGCATCAACATGGATGAGAGGGGGGAGGGGAGGGGACCAAAGAGAGGAGGGATAGAGGAGAAGGAGGGGGAAAGGGAGGGGGAAATATCATAAACACTGTCTGAGACTCAGCCTGTCACTCCAGAGGCAATGGAAGTATTCAGGCCTGAAGAGTCAAAGCAAGCTGATAAACCTTTGGAAGAGAGTGTGAATGATTAGAAGGGTTTCTCAGATGACAGTCAGAGACATCGTTCAGGTGATTAGCAAGGATGTGGTGGTGACAGCTTCCTTGATATCCTAGGGGAAACAACTGAAGAATTAAAGGCCCCAGAAAAACATGGACAAAGGAAGAATGAAGGAACAGACCAAACTGTCCAAAGGTTTGTGTACTCAAATTTATGGATGATTTAACGGATTTTCATGGTTTTAATTTTTACTTTGAGATTTTAATTTTAATTTTAATTTTTCACCTCACAAGCTCATTTTAGAATCTAACCAAGTATCAGATAAAACTGCACAGGATGAATTAAATGTAAGTATGTTGTAGCAGGGTAAAGATGACATAACTTTCTTCTGTCTGCAAT